CCAATATTCAGATCTAATATTTATCTGGAATAAGTCTTAGCCTTAGTAGGCTGCCCATCGCTAAGCTTCACAGACAACAGGATTGTTCCAGAAATAGACACAGCTAAGCATTTACTTAATTCATATTCTCAAGACCTGGAACTTGTGTCTCCAGGCAATGAGTTTGGGGAAAATGTGCCCTAAAATGAGGAAGGCAGTATGACCTAGACTGAAGGTCTTGATATTACTCATGGGTTTGTTTGAAGAGAAGTGAAATGTGATGCGCCATGTGACCCTATCATATGCTAAAGGAAGCGACCCATGGTCACTTCCTGTAGCGAATGACTTTCTAGACGACAGACGTTATTGGAACCTCTCTCTGGGGGACATTATGAGTAGCTGATTTCCCTGGTGGGTAGAAGATTCTCTGAAATTGGTCAGCTGCACACAGAGGGCCTGTAAACACTAAATAGACATTGCCTCAGTGTGAGACCATATTAACTAAAGATGCAGGAGAGTCATTTAACCCAGATTGGAAGTAACTTGGAAGTTGGTTAGGGCCTACCATGGGGTTAATTGGGTGGCTTTTTGTTGTGGTGTTTAGGGTAATATCTTTGACCCTGGGCATTCATGTACTCACGGTCACTTTCCATTACTTTGGCTTCACAAACATATATTCACAAACATAAGATGTTTGGTATCTGAGGTTGCAGTGGTCACTTCTTCTCCTGTTGATTGGAATGTACAGATGGAATCATGCACAGGGTAAATAGCCACTGGGGGCCTTCCCTGTCCCCTGGGGGTCCCTCACCCAACTCTGATTAGCGGTGCACTACCTAGCATGTCATCAGTGCCCCTGAGGACCCTGGGCTAGTCCTTGGAATCTTCAATGGGGGGTTTCTGGATCTTCAGGGCATCTGTAGGTCAACCCTCTGAAATGATGAGCAAAAACGTCCTATGTCTGTCTCCCTGCCCCATCTCCCCAGAGTGACTTCATAAAATCTTTAGCAAAATTAGATGACCTCCAACAAAGCTAGAAGGAAGCTTTGCCCTTTACATTTCGCTCTATCCCACCAACACACGTATTCACAAGGGAGAACGCTGGCTGAAAGCAGAGGCTGACATTTATTGGCTGGAGTTGTCAAGGTAGGGAGCCCTCCTGAGGTCAGTTAATAGGGAGTGGCTGGCTGGAGGAGGGAGGGGAGGAAATTATAGTAAATATGCCCCAGGTAAAAGCTTTCAGATTTAAAAAGAAAAGAAAAGAAAAGAAACAAAACAAAAGAAACCCCAACCTGCTGATCAAGCTTAAAGTCTGTTCACCTTAGCAGTGGTCGCTTTTACAGTAATAAAGAGAAAGCTGAGGCCTCCTCACTGGGCACTTACGGTGTGATATGTGATAACTTACATCCTTTGGCACGCAGTAGGTGTGTGATGTGTACGATTCCCCACTGTAAACTGTCCCCTCCCTGCATGCGCACAGGTGTGTACCTGTGCCTCCAAGTAGGGATGAAGTTAGCTGTTTGCCTTTTTCCCAGAGTTCATTGCAAAGGTCTTCCCTTTCTGGGTGTTGCTGTAGACAGCCACCCTTGTAGACCTGCACGTCTCCCGGGGCCCTGTTTGCACAGACTGCGGTCGGAAAGCCACCCCCAGAGCTGTGTGGCTTGGCCACCCATGTCTAGTCTTCTTTCTCTTCTTTGATGGCCCTCTTTTGTGTCTTCACCGTCGGTTGTGTTTTGTAAGCGTCAGACCTAAAGCACTTCTACTTGTCAACAGGTCTGTGGCCACCACTGTGGCTTCTCACAGCGGACTCACTGTGCTTCTCGCCTGACTTTTCTTAGCTTGTGTTAGAAAAGCACTAGCTAGGGGCGCCTGGGTGGCTCAGTTGGTTGAGCGTCTGACTTCGGCTCTGGTCATGATTTCATGGTTCATTGGTTCGAACCCCAGGTTGGGCTCTGTGCTGGCAGCTCAGAGCCTGGAGCCTACTTTGGAGTCTATGTCTCCTTCTCTCTCTGCCCCTCCCCTGCTCGAGCTCTATCTCTCACTGTCTCTCAAAAATGAATAAACATTAAAAAATTTGGAGAAAGAAAAGCACTGGCCAGCCCAGCAAAGGACTCCTTTCCATCTGAAGTGTAAAAGAGTTCACCTAGCTTTAGGGGCCTGGACTCCTGGTTCTGTGGAAGGAGTGCTCCCTCCTTGTCACAGAAGGTGTGTGTGTGTGTGTGTGTGTGTGTGTGTGTGTGTGTGCGCGCGCGCGCGCGCGCGCACACGCGCGTGCATGGTGGGTTTTTTTGTTTGTTTGGTTGGTTTTGTGCCAGTCATGTTTCAGCTCATTCTAGGTCAGAATTCTCTGCCTCGAGTGCACATCAGAATCATCCGGGCAGCTTCTAAAAATCCCGACACTCCGGCCACCTTCCAGAATAATTAAATTGGTATATCTGGAGGTGGGACTTGGGCCTCATTATCTTTTAAAACCTTTGCAGGTGATTGATTCTAACATGCTCTCAAAGTTGATAACCACGAATACAGGCTAAAATGCTGAAGGCTTAATTCCATTTCACAGAAGCTTGATTTTTATATTTAAAAAGAACAAAGCTTCCTAGCCAGCAAATGCATATTTGTCTGTCTGAAACATACTCTATAAAAAAAAAAAAAAAATCACATAAAACATGACCCAGCTTTTTTGTTTTACAAATGACTTATAGGGAAACCTAAAGGGTTACATTAGTTGTTTCACAAATAGATCCAAATCTAACTGTTGCGGAAAACATATATATTCATTGTCCTGTTGGTCCCAAATAGAACACAAGGTTCAGAAAGCATTGTAGCTTGTATTTTTAGCTTAGCGTAGAGCTCTGGGTCTGGGAGACAAATTTCAAAATAGTTTGTTGCCTAAAAATACACTTCCTGAAATGAACTTGAGGCCTGAGAGGGATGAATGGGTTTGGTTTTTTCTTCTTCTTCTTCTTTCTGTATTTAATGTTACCACAAGAAAGCAAATCTTAAATTTATATGTGTTTGTATTTTTAGACACCCAGGAAGCAGGTGCTGTGCCCAAGTGATGAAGAAGGTTTCGTGGCAAAGTGTAGATGAAAAATCTGAAATTCACGGGACAGGGAGAGATAGCAAGATGGCAAGGAGGTGGTTCTTCTGGCTGTAGGCAGGAGCATACTTGCTACAGGGAGGAGATGGGGAGGCTCTCCTCGGGCCTTTTCAAGGGTGATCCCTGGGAGAAGCGTACCTCCCAGCTTCCTAATGGCCAGCGACTCTTCCAGTGCTACAAGTAGTGGAGGTTTCTACTCTTAGTCCAGCTGATAAGTGGCTCTGAGTTCATGTTTGTTAACCAAATGCCTAGTAGCCTTGTCCGTATTGTTTAAATTTTTTTTAAATGTTATTTATTTATTTTTGAGAGAGAGGGAAATGGAGAACAAACGGGGGAGGGGCGGAGAGAGGGAGACCCGGAATCCAAAGCAGGCTCCTGGCTCCGAGCTGTCAGCACAGAGCCCAACGCGGGGCTCAAACTCATGAACCGCAGGATCCTGACCTGAGCCAAAGTCAGATGCTTAATGGACTGAGCCACCTAAGCACTCCCCCTAGTAGCCTTTTCTTACTTCACTTGACTCTTCAAACACCTCCCTTGAACTTCCACTTTTGCCAGTAGAAATGGATCTCATGCAGGGAACATAAGGGGATGGAAGTGTTATCCCCTCTTTAATGGTCTGTTGACATGCAGCATGTGTCTTGCAAAGAACAGTCTGTCTTCAATATGTTATTGATGACTGAATGAATCTGGCATGTATAATCACACCCACCCCACCCCCAATCTAAAGGAAGAAGTTCTATACCCTTTCCCACTTGGTATAAAGAGCCAAACGTGGACTTCTTATATTTAGTCATTTGTGTTTTCATTATTCACTTACTCATCTGACGAATACCTGTGGACGCCTCCTATGTAGCAGGTCATCTTCTTGGCACAAGGCATACGGTGTGCAAACAGGGCAGGTGAAAGCTCACGGAGCTGGCGTTTTGGTGGATAGATTCCAAGCAAGTAAGCGGCTGATATAGTTGTGAAGGAGATAAAAGAGAATTCTGTGGTAGTTACTTGTGAGTTGCTTTTCGATGGAGAGGTCACATTAACTGGAGACCAAAAAGGTGACAGAAAGCCAGACAATGGAAAGTGAAGGGCTCTGGGGAGGAAGGAAGAAGGCTTAAAAGGTGAGGAGTAAGGATTGAATGGGCTGGTGGGTGGTGGTGGCGGATGAAGTCAGAGAGGTAGCAGGTGGTAGATTCTTGAGGCAGAACTCACCCTTTACTCACCTGCAGGACTCCAGTGCCTGGAGCCTCGCCAATTTTGGGAAATTCTATCTCAGAGACAGTCAGTGTTGGTTAATCAACTGCTTTCCTTCAAGGCAATGGGGGAGAAGTTAGAATCAGCCTCTTGCAGAGAAGACCTGTATAGCTCTTCCCCTGCAGGGGAGGAGAATGACGGCAGGGCCCTGCCTCACCTACAGTGTCTCCTCTGAGTTGGCCACCACCGTTTTGTGCTGCACAGCTCTGCTCCATTGTGACCTCTCTCTACCCATCTACGTGGCAGCCCTCATCAGGATCCCATATCTTCTGTGATTCTCTTTTGGGTTATACCCTACCTTCATTTGTTTCCTTGCCTAGCTACTCAGCTAAATGATGGTTTCCTTAAGGTAGTGTTCTCTGTGTTTCCAGCACCCAGTACTATATAGTGGACTGATCAGTTGGCTGTTTCTGGATGGAGTGATTATGTGTATAGATAGGGTGCCATAGGCAACACTGACAAAAGCAAGAAGTCACTAAGACTCTCCCCCACCCCAGCCACCACCACTCCGCAATGGATTTCCTTACAAATCGCATACATGAAGGAAATTCTAATCTGACATGAATAATTCAGATTATTTTATTTCATTTGAAATTGCAACACCTCATCAGGGATTCCCTGGCAGGCTGCCTAGCGGTTAGATACTCACTTAATGTGTCTCGCTTTCCCCCCCCAGTTAATAATGGCATGATAGTTACGGAGAACAACGGTGTCATCAAGTTTCCACAGTTGTGTAAATTTTGCGATGTGCGATCGTCCACCTGTGACAACCAGAAATCCTGCCTGAGCAACTGCAGCATCACGTCCATCTGCGAGAACCCGCACGAAGTCTGTCTGGCTGTCTGGTAAGGTGGCCTCCAAAAATCTTCCTTTTCTCCCTTCTGTCAGGGATGCACACTGCTGTACGTAGCGTCAGGGTGCCCCCTTGCCCCATAACATGTCCCTTTCCCTCAAGTGACCTCTCTTTCAGTTATTAAATGTAATTTCCAGAGATACTTTGTACATTTGCAGATATATACACACACAGATCTATTTATATGTGAGTGTGATAGCATATACGGTAGCCTTAAATATTTACCATAAATCTGGGACGCCTTCCTTGTAAGAAGGAGAGACTTTGCGCCTTGTCATTTTAATCGACAACCCCTTGGTCCCCCAGAGTGACACCAGGAGCTTTGTTTATCTGAGGCAGTCTCAGTCGTGTTTCATGGAAGGAGAGGGGAAGAAAGATGGTTGTGTGAAGAGGAAAGGCCTTGTTAAAAAAAAAAAAAAGGAAGCTCTTAGAAGAACCAGAAAAACAGCCCGTTCATTAGTCAGAAGCTGTGGCCACGTTACTCACAGCACCACTGGGCCACGTCCTCCATCTTGCTCTTGGATCAGAGCTGCTGATTTCTCTTAGATCTCATTCCCTCCATGTTCTCTCTCCCTCTCTCTCTCTCTCTCTCTCTCTCTCTCTCTCTCTCTGTGTGTCTCCCATTTCCCCTTCAACACACGTGCATGCACACGGTGCTCATAAATCCTTTGATTTATTGATACTGTTGGATTGGAAGTAACAGCAAGAGATAAAAGGAAAATAGAGATGAAAAGAGTCCTCATTTTATAAAACAAATTCACTAATGAAATACAACATTTGCAGACTTATTCTGAGGTTTTAAACTTATCAACCAATAAGTAAGTCACCTATGTGTCTCCTGCCCGGTTGGCAAATGAGAATATAAACCCAAATGTCTTCCTGCACATACACCCCCCACCCACCTTTTGGGGAACAAGCCTTTTGAGACTTTCTCCAGACTACTTACAGTTCGCCTTGGTGATAGATCTGAAACGCTTGCACATTTCCGTGCCTACCAGGGCATGAACTAGTTTCTTAAGAACCAAAAGAATATTAACAGCAAATAGCTGTCGTGACAGCCTGCAGTACCTGTCACCCTCATTCAGGTCTGGTTCTGACCAATGTCTTTGCCAAAGGGGTTTTGACAAAGATGGGTTCAGAGGAAGAGGGGCCGGTACTCCCGCAGGCTGAGGAAGCTAGTGGTGTGAGGAACAGCTGATGCAGTCAGACACGGCGAGCCCAGTAAAGAGAAGGAATGGGTTCCATTGAGAGCCACTGGATGGGCCCTCAAGTGGAAATGAGAAGAACCCTCCTCTGCATGATTCTGAAGGGCATACTAACAAGAGGACAGACTGCAGTAGACGTGTAAACATTTTCATGATCGTGGTTTCTTAGCAGCAAAACAGGCTTCCTCCTCTGAGGAGTCAAAGTTCAGGGGAGGCTGGGGGACATGTCTAACGCAGGAAAGATGGAGACAGCAGCTTGTATGGCCTCAAAGCTTCCTTCTTTGCTTCTGTACTCTGCTGATCACCTTGACTTAAATATCCCCTGTGACGTGAGAGCTTACTTCCACTACCCCAGACAGGCTCATCTACTATATGTTTTGTCTTGACCCATGGTACAAGCCCCTCTGATGGCATATGGGTCAGGTCGCTCTGAAATTCCAAGCTCCGGAACAAGGCGTTGCACGCTGTCTCAGAGAATGTGAGCATGGAGGGGAGAGCAGACCTTCCTTTTCCTCCAGTTCCCACCATAAAGAGTTCATACAGTGAGTGTTATTTCTCTACCTGTCTCAGCAAAGATGAATCCCCCTGTGGAGTGGAGTGTCGGTAAGGAGAACGGGAAGTGAGGGGTGCTATGATCCCTCCTGCCGATCCCCAGCACTGAGGCCCTCACCCCCTCAGCTTCTGGGAGCAGTAGGCGCTGAGGGATCACCCGAGTCCCCCCAGTTAATTTCCCTCCCTTCACTGACTAGAGCTTCTTCACCCATTTGGCCTCTACTCAAGTTTGCCCCTCTCCATAGGTAGCTAGTGTCCCATGACCACTGGACGCCAGGATCCAAAAGGCCTGGCCAAGGGGTACCTGGGTGGCTCAGTCGGTTAAGCGCCTGACTTAGGCTCAGGTCATGATCTCATGGTTCATGGGTTCAAGCCCTGTGTTGGGTTCTGTGCTGACAGCTAGCTCAGAGCCTGGAGCCTGCTTCAGATCCTGTGTCTCCCTCTCTCTCTGACCCTCCCCTGCTCACGCGCTCGCTCGCTCTCTCTCTTTCTCAGAAATAAATAAAAACACTTAAAAAACAAAACAAAAGGCCTGGCCACATCGCCTCTTTTGGGACTGCTCTGACTGGCCATCTTAGCTTTATATCTTCTGAGGGATTGGAGAGTCATTTGCTGCAGCCTGCATTGTGGCTCAGCTCCCGCTGTGGCAAGTGCTGCTTTCTTCATCCCTTGCGGGTGCCTCTCCAGAAACTCTCCACAGAAATCTCCCTGCCTTAAGGTCTGTTTCCAGGGAAGCCCACCTCGCAGCCAGAGGTGGAATCAGAAGGGCTCTACCCTGCTCGTGTTTTCCAGTGCCTTTTGCGTCGTAGTCTCCTTTTCATTCATTCCTTAACTCATTTGTTCATCTAACCAATGACAGCTGTGCCCCCGTACCGTGTCAAATGCGTAAGTTCTTGCCAAGGATAAAAATAATTTGGAAGCAAAATTAATCTTATTCTTGCGTTTCTTCTTTGGAGTGGATGTTGACAAACCTCTTTAATGGCTCAAAGCAAATGTTCCAGGACAAAGAGGTCTGTAGTTATTTTGTTGTATTTTCCCTTCCCATGCTCAACCGTACCTAAAGATATTTTTCAGAGTTGGCTTTTGCCTGCCAGGGAGCACTGTGAGAGAAGTGAGCAGAGAAAGCAGTTAAGGACTTTCCCCAGACTCGAGTATTCTAATTGCATTTCCTCTGTGCAATTTTAGTTCTCTAAGCAGCACAGAGGGCTCCGAGGTGGAAGGCAAGAGGCTCTGAAAGAGCTGCCCAGTGATTATACAGACTTTCCTTCCTCATTCCATTCCATTCCACAGTTCCTTCCTCATTCCATTCCTTGGGCTCTAGAAGCTTCACAAGGAAGAGACACCATACTTTTACCTGGGGGCACAGAAGACTCAGCCTTCATTTTGTTACCCAAACCAAAAAGCCACCCCATTTGGGCATGCACACAGGACCCTCCCCCACTCCTCCACCAATATGGAAGCAGGGAGGGAGGTGCTCTTGCTTCATGGCTGCCATTTTTGCCAAGACTTCCCAGTAGCTTTGCGGTTAAGAATAAGTGGATTTTTAAATATGCATAGTTTATTGCACAGTCCTGCCAAGTTGACTTTCACTTAGTTCCCTGTGAGCCACCCTAGAGTAAGGATTCTGATTGTGGCGTTCCCTGTTCAGCAAGGGCGTGCTCCTCCTTCACCTGCTGGAGTGTTAGTTCCAGAATCCTCAAGATGTTTCCCCAAGGGCCAGTCGACCTCTGCTGGAGCCAACCCTGGGTTACATGGATGTCAGACACGCCGTCTCTGTTCCTGGCTATACTGTTCTAGCCCTACTCTCACTTCTCATCTTATCCCCTTGTTGACATGCTGTCCATTAGTGTCCTGGAATTAAATACCCTAGCGGTCGTATGTCACAGTTGCTCTTCCCCTGTGGACATGGCCTTGTCTGTTTTCCAGGTGAAGGCTGTACCTTAGCTGCTTCTTGCTTCCACCCTGCCTCCCATTTGCTTGTTGGGGGGAGGGGAGCAGCTGGTGAGTATGTGCGGGCATATGGGCACCCCTGTGCATTCAGTTGTGTACCTTCAGAGTCCTTCCCAGGGAAGACTAGAGTTGTAAAACTGATGGTCACTGAGGCCTATTACCCCTTCCGTAGATTCCGCCTCCAGTTATAGAGACTACCTTTCAAGACAACATGCATTTTGCAGCTGAAAAGGTCAGAGATGGGAGGAAAGAGGTCAGACCAACCTTGGTCTTTGGACAGTCATCCAAGGTGGCAGCTTTATGAGAGGAGCAGATTGAAACAGGCAGAGAATGACGCCCTTTTCCTGGGATGCCCAAGTTTTATTTTGACTTTTGCAATTATAGTAGTGGACATCGATCATGTCACTTTTAAATATAATGTACACATACAGCCCACTGAGCATTTGTAAAATGCCACATGGGAGATTCTCTGAGCCACTAGCTAAGTTAGGCTTCAAATATGTGATGTGAGGGGGTACTAAATGTAGAGGTGATCTGTTTACGACAGCATAAAATATTTCACTGAGCTGTAAATGAAGAACACCTTGGAGTTCTTTCCCATGTGTTTTCTTTTTTTCCCCCCGTTCCATCCCTTTCTGTGAGTCGACACACTGCCAGTCCTTCATCTAGGAAGCTTGTTCTGTTTTCGCAACCTGGTAAGCTGCTAACACAGAATATGCCCTCATTCACAGCGCTCTGGGGCCCAGCTAGCAAAACTGTGGAACTGCAACTACTTTCCCAGGATTGCTGCTTGAGAGCAGCATAGCTAGACTTGACCTTCATCCTGTCAGATACTCCAGGGATGCAGTGTGAACCCTGCCATGTGTTCGGGACGGAAGGCTCTATCCTGATGACTGAGCAGCTTTCCGTTTACCGTGCCTTCCTTTCTACTGATTTAATTAAGACATGATGTTTAAAATTGTCTAGTGGGGCAGCCCCCAAGGGAGGCCTTCATGTTCAGAATCATAGATGGGTTTTGAGACGACACAATGGAAGGACCGAAATGGGTAGAGAAAGCCCAGGGAACGGGGGGACAGCCTGTTGGCTGTTGGAGAACATGGACCAGCTGCCATTGTTAGGACAACTTCGTGAAGGAAGGACAGTCCCGCTTGCTTTTCTGTCCAGAAGACCATATTCACCCATTCTCTTTTTCCTCTCCTTGGCACCCTAGGAGGAAGAATGATGAGAACGTTACCCTAGAGACGCTTTGCCATGACCCCAAGGACACCTACCATGGCATTGCGCTTGAAGATTCTGCTTCTCCAAAGTGTATCATGAAGGAGAAAAAGGTGTTGGGCGAGACCTTTTTTATGTGTTCTTGTAGCACCGATGAGTGCAATGACTACATCATCTTCTCAGAAGGTAAGCTTTCCTCCCTCAAGAGTCTGGAGCCCCGCTTCTCCTGTGTCCATCTCTTGTGTCCCTGGTCCGCAGCCTCAGGCTCCATCCTTCTGGGACTAGGGAGGGACTTACACTCTGTGAATTAGGAACCAGTCACCTGGCAGGACGAAGTGCTTAAGGAGTAACAGGGCTGGTCCTGGCCCATAGCCAGTCTGGCTGATAGGCCCCCGTTCTTACTGGCCCTCAACCAGTAGTTTCTTCCCTGATGGCAGTGGCCATCCTTGTGGTCCTTGGAGCCCCAGCAGCGTCACCTGATAACTTGTCAGCGATGTGGATTCTGGGGCCCCACCCCAGCCTGTGGAAGCAGAAATTCTGGGTGCAGTTCCCGCAGTCGGTTTGAACAAGCCCTCCAGGTGATTCTGATGTGGCTACATATGAGAACTACTGGTCTAGAGATCGGAGGAGGCTGTTTGATACTGGAGCGAGACTTACTTTGAATTAAGTCAAATAGTTTTGAGTACCTAGTCTCAGGATTTGTCTGGAGGATACTTATTAATGTCCCATCCATGAGAAGAGCTGAAATGTGGAGGGACAATAAGGACCCAGGTTTACCTATGGCGGCAGGGAAAGATGAGATTGGATACTTGCCTTCATCTTTCAAGTTCAGCATCCACTCAGCTTAAAAGGAGGACACACACTATTCCTTCAGTTTAAAACACTATTCGATGATTTTTAACTACAAAATAGTATATGTTCCCTATCAAAATTTCAGACAATCCAACAACATGTAAAAATTGTAAGTGGAAGTACATACATCTCATCTTCTCACTCCCAACCCAATAGATGATCAATATGAATAGTTTGTTGGATGCATACTTGTCTCTGTCATCATTCATATTATCCTTCCTTATCTCCTGTTTCCCTATTTCTTTCCTCTCTCCCTTCCCTTCCCTTCTTTCCTCAATCCATGCATTTGTCCGTCCATCCATCCATTCATCTGTCCATCTATCCATCCATCCATCCATCCATCCATCCACCCACCCATCTCATACACTCATCCACCTTCCAGTGCAAATAGTTGATCCTACTATAAATATTATTTGATAATATTTTTTCACCCGACCCCTTTCACTCCTCCTTTTAAATAAGACAACACATATGGATAAACTGCAGGCCGTTTAATTATTGTCTAGAAACTCGTAATAATGGTTATCTTCTAAGACTGATTTAACAATTCCCTCATTGTCTCCATTTTCACACCTGATTCTCCACTGAATATCTTTGTAAAAATGTCTTGTACATTTGTGCTCATATTTCTGTAAGATAGATTTCTGGAAATGAAATGTTGGGTCGGCAGTTATACACGTTTTAAATTGGGATAACCGCTGTGAAATTGTTCTCTTCCCCCAAAAGATAGCTGAGTGTACAGATTTCCATGTCTGTTCTTTAACACTGGAGATAAGCCTTTTAATTTTGCCAGACTGATAGTGCAAATAATATTCTCTTGGTGTTAGGAGTGTAAATTCAGAGCAGGGAAAGGTTATTTTAGCCCCAAATAGGTCTGGTTCAATTAAAAAATCCTTTCAGAGCACAAATTCTGGGTTTACACATTTTCCCTGCTCCTGGGTCTGTCGCAGCAATGGAAAATGATGGCTGACACTTTGTGCGAGGTGCTCACCAGCTCTGCCAACCCACCTCTTCCTCCTGTGTCCTTCATCTCCTCCCATTTCCCCTCTCTTATTGTCTACCCCCTTACCTATGCCAGCTTCCCAGTGTACAGAGTCAGACCTGTTCATCTTGTCAGCACAGCACTTTGGACAATCACCCTCCCTCCTATTTTCTCATCCTTGAATTGCTCCATTTGTTTCATTTTTCTTATGTAACTTGAGTTCGGGAGGGAAGATGTAACTATATTAAATCACATTAAAGCACAGGGACACATGATATCCTGACGTAACATGCTAACCTTCCCCAAGCAGTTCATCTTTTCTAAGAACTCTCAGTCTAAGGCGAAGGAGTTAATCTCTAATAGCAGAACATCCATACAAGTCATTGCCATCTATGAAATTCTTCTCTACGTGTGCATACTGGCTTATCCACAGTGGAAGAATTTATCTTCTGCAAAAGGGACCAAAGTTAATAAATGGCCTGCAAGTTGAGTATATATTTATATTACTATAAGCTTTTAAGATAGTAATGACTTCAGAGGCACCTGGGTGGCTCAGTTGGTTAAGCGTCCAACTTTGGCTCAGGTCATGATCTCAACAGTTCATGGGTTCGAGCCCCACATCCGGCTCTGCACTGACGGTGCAGAGTCTGCTTCGGATCTTCTGTCTCCCTCTCTCTCTCTGCCCATTCCCAGCCTGTGCTTCTCTTTCTCCCTCTCAAAAAAAAAAAAAAGAAACATTAAAAAAAGGGGGTGTGTGTGTGCAAAAGGCTCTTCTTTAAAAAAAAAAAGATATTAATGAATTCAGTTTTCGGTATATTTCAATTCAGGTGATAATCACAGGCCCATGTCTGTACTTTCCCTCTTATTCATTATCAGACTGTTTCTTTCCTTATGAAGTCAGATCGTCAGCATAAAGGCAGTTTCTCATCATGCAACTCAGGAAATCCAGCACAGCTGATGACTGGGTTGTCTGGATGACTTCAAAGTCTCTTAAAATGCTCCGGGCAATGTTTGCCTTTCAGGCATCGCCTTTCTTTTCAGTGGGACAATTCCTCCACCTAAAACGCCGCATAATTAGCAACATTCGGAGACCCACAGCCTTTCTTACTGCCACCATTTCTTTCTTATACTGAGGAATGGAATGTCTTGAAGCAATTGTTATTTCTCCATTCCACGTCAAATAGCATGTCAAACGCACACTACGAAGGGTTTTGTGCTGTATTTTTTATTAGTACAGTGCTCTGTTCTTGTTGCCGGATTTCTGACCTGCAAATGCAGTGAATGATAATTACTTCCATCTTCCATTTTTCTTACGTAATTAAGGGGGAAAGGTGAGCCACAGGATTTTCCTATTAAATGCAGATCTTTATTATCAGGGCTGTTAGCCGCCATCGCTGACGTTCAGAGGGAACGAATCCGGTCTCTGAAAGATTCTCTCTTGCCAAAAGGAGAATTCTTTTGTGGAGAATTCTGAGAAGTCCCAGTCTGCCCCTGGACTCACCCAGACCTAAGATTCTAACTAGAAGAGCGGGTGTTTGTGTTAGTCCTTATTGATGGCCTCGTGACAGCTGATAGCCAGAGGAGACCTGTGCGGCTCCAGGACCCAGCATAGAATGGGAGGGGAGGGAGCCCTGAGCAAACAGCTGTCCTGTTTACTTGCTGATGACACATCCACTTGGCAGAAACGTTATGCAGCGATTGATCTCCCTGGGAACCTTTAAGAATCAAACGCAACCATTCAGCTTTATTCATTCCATTAATATAAATGGTTTCCAAGTGCAGTGAAGACATTTAATTTGCAGAGACCAGAGCACGGAGACAATTTTTGTTGCTGTTTTAGGAAAGAGAAAGTGTTGTTCCCTGCATTGAAGGCCTGTTCTACTACTTATTAGCTTTGCCACCCTGGGCCAGTTACTTGATGTCTCCACACTTCAGTCCTCTTGGGTGTGAAATGGAAATTAAAGGGCAGGGTTGAGGGCGGGGTTGTGATGTCAGAATTGAACAGATGTGTCTGTGCAGAGCTCTTACATCAGTGCCTGGAACAGTGTGAGGACCCACTGCTAGCTGCTAGTGTTCTTTGGGCTTTTTGTATAGGATTTGGGACTTTGGGTTAAGCCATGGAGCCCAGACCGTGCAGTGTCTAGGTCTGCTCCAGCCCTGAGGTCGTGCAGTGGGGTTTAGCCCCTGGCCTGCCACCACAGCATAGGGACCCCTCTAGCGAACACCGAGGGGCGTGCTTTGCCAGACTCCAAGCCTTAACCTCTGCGTGCCTGCCCAGCAGCAAGGGGAGCACATTGGGTGTAGGGTTTCTAATCACAGCTAACCACATCCCTGACATCGCAGGATAATATTACAAATCAGGCCCGCTGTTCCTGTTTTGACTCAGAATCACAGCAGGAGGCAGCTAAATAAAACTGGGGAGATCACAAGAGCCTTTCATATTAGTGATGAGGGTAATCACACTCTGTCCTTGCTATATGGGTTCACCCCATCTTTTTTTCCAGCAGAAAGCTTGCTTTGGGCCACCTGCCCTTGTCACTGACTGGCCTTGCCACTGTTGACCGCCTAGTGCTGATGGTGGGGGTGCCCATGGGCTGGGGTGGCTGCGGGAGTCAAACGTGATGCTGGGAGAGTCCAGCTCAGTAGCCAGTGTACAGTAGGTGCCATCTGTTTTACTCCTACCTCCCTGGGGAAGGAGACCACTGTGGCGAGGAGCACAGCTCTCCTGCGTGGTGGCAACCGTTCATACACAAAGTCTTGGCATAGCAGCGGTGGCAAGATGTACACAGCCTGCCGGCCCTGTTGCATCAGCACCTGCCCCATAACAGTGGCCTTGGTGATTTGTTTGCGCGCCGAAGTGTGAAAGGCACTGATGTGGACTCACCCAGCCAGGCACAGAACCAGACATGGGCCTTGTTAATAAGTTCATGCTGCTAACGTGCCAAGCTAATCAACCCAAGAGGAGTACATTTGATCTTAAACCTGGTCATTTGGAAACGAGCTAAATACACTGTACTTGGCCCATTCATGAATCGCGTAACGGAACTCCCCGGTGAAACGTGGGTGTTTTTCAACCGTGAGAGTAAAGTTCATTTCTTTATACACCCCACAGACTTTGTGCTAGCGTCTGCATGTAGATATCAGGCCTGTTTTAGGTAACGTTTCCTTGGTTTCCATGATAACGTTTATACTAATCTGTCTGTAGGATTGTCACCTAACATTTCCCAAAGCCAGAAGACGTTTAGGAACACCTTTCAGATGTTTTTCTGAATTGGGTCTACAGAGGAGATGTTTAATAGCCCTGGGGAGCCTTGGACAAGTAATAGAGCAACATTAAAAAGAGTTTGCCTGA